GTATGTCAAATGTATTTCCTACCCCCATCATGTGATAATATCCTGATAACCAGGGTCAGTTATCCCTGCCAAAAATGATTACTCTATTGCTGTCCAAGCCACCAGAGTACCCAGGTTACATGTCTAGTTCCACGAAACTCTTTTCCTGTTACCTGGCATAAGAGATCCCTCTTTGGAGATCAAGGCCTCTAACTCTACCAATCTCAGAATTTCAGGAATAGCACACACAAATTGGGATTCATGATAAATAGGGACCTTGTCTGCTTTTGCTCTTTGTTCTTAGACTCATTTATTTTTCCCTTTGGGGACATAGTGTCATAGAAAGGTTTTAAGTTCAGAATGTAAACTGCATAATGGAGGATAGTGCTCTATCCATATAGTTCTGCTTTTGACCTGGTACTTCAACTGTACCTTCAGCAGGCTGATGCAGTGCTCTCTCTGACTTCAGTGTCTGTGTGTGTGTGTGGTTTATGATATGACCAGTAAACCCCACAATCACCTCCTCGACTGTAAAATGGGTCCCTTGGTCCTATGTGATATGTGAGATCCTGTGCCAGAGAAACAGACACTTCCTCTGGGGTGAGGCAAATCCATCACAGAATGTTTCTGCTCCTGTTTGATTTATTCTTTTTGAGTGGGAAGGGCCAATGTAGTTAACTTGCCACCACATTACTGTTTAGTCTATTTAAAGAATGGTGCTGTTTTAGGGGCTTAGGGCCCATTAGCACACCAGGGTTGTTTCTCAAAAGGAATATAATTCTTTGCAGCAGATTGTGTGATCTTGCTTTACAATCCAGGGATATGTGTTGTGATTATTCTATTGGGACTTACCGTAACACTACATGAAATTGTTTCCAAATGCTGATTATTTTAATATTATAGGGCCTGCTGTATGACTCAGACAGTTGGGTTTATTGTATGGCTCCTACTAATGCAGAGCCCTTTTCCTGTCCATTAGCCATAAGTCATGAAGCTGGGAGATATAAGTTGGGCTACTTCTTGGTTGAATTTGTTGTAGCCATCCTTTCGGTTTTGTCTGGTTTCTGAAAAGCCCAGACAGATTAATTAAATGAAAATAACGAATATCATTACTCCTGCATCCTTCAAAAGTCTAAAGGCTTATGACTAAAGTTTTATTGATAACACAGCCATATCTGTTTATGTATTGTGTATGACTGCATTCATACTATAATCACAGATTTGAATTTTATGACAGATTACATGGCCACTCCCCACCCCAATATTTTTTTTTT